CACGCAACTATCGAACAAACAGAATGCAGCGATGAAAAGAAATGGCTATCCAACACTACTTTGGACGATGATATTACACACCCCACCCCACCTCAAAGTACACCAATTTGAGTGAGTAAGGCAATTTAGAACTAACATGGGACAATGAAGACCCAGTTTTTAGTGATTAACTCTGAAACCTGCTGCCTAGATATGACATGACTATCGAAAAATACTGACTGCCACCATTACCAAAATTTGGTATTCATTCAAACGCCTAACGTTCCGATTCACAGGCTGGAGATCATGGTTACGATTACATCAGGACTAAGAATTATTGGTTGATATCTTTCCCTAAGTCCTGAACGTTGTTTATTATTATTAATAATAATAATAGTGAAAAACTCAGTTTATCCCTCATAACGCTATGAATATCTCTACACAAAGTCTAATTGGATGCCTCAAGATCAGTCTTGCTCACTCGAATCTCGAACCGTTAACTCAATCATACTCTAGTCAATGTGGTTAACATGAAATACACTTTTGTAATTGCATGGTGTCATATACCTTAAGGAGGGTGGGGGGGTTTAGTTATCTAGGATGTGTGTAATAAATAAAATATTTTCTTCAAGTTGTACCAGTTTGTAATGAAAATTACATTGTCAAACTGTTTGCGGATAATCTCTTTGATTATTCATTCACGATGTGAATTCACAAAATGTTATATTAATACTACAGTCAGCAAGTATGAGGTATGTAATCCTGTCTAATATTAATAACTGTGGAACTTGACAAAGTGTTTGATATTTATTTGTTTGATGGTATACGGCGCTGTCCATCCTGTCGAGGAGTCGTCAGCTGGACGTACGTGAGGGTGTTCTCGCTTATATTTCAACCCAGCTGTCATCACTTTCAATGTCTCAAGCGTGATCCACCAGATCACGGAAGCCAATTCTTGTCCGACAGATATCAGTTGTCATCCATGAAAGTTCTCTTCTATTTCCCGTTGGTTGATATTGATATTGAACGCGAGGTGCTCACGTTAACCTTCAGACATCTTCGAATAGTTCGTACACAAAGCCAGCATAACAACAGAGACCGAGAATTTCGATGCATTATGAACCAGTTGAAGGGGTACATAAAATAATTTCGACAACTCAAATGTTTGATATTTAAGTGGAACAACACTCACGAATACCTAAAATCAGACTTCTCTACCATACAATGATAACATAAAGCCAATCATGGTATTTCTTTTGCTTCAAGGTTAATCTGATTTAGAATAAAATTTAAACAGCGTGTATCACACCCGGAATTAATCCATTTGAATTCAAGATTGGTGGTGACTGCTCAAAGTCATAACATAACTTCTTCGGAATGAATTGTACAGCGTGATTTCTAAGCTATTTATTCATAACTGATACCTTCGAAATGTTTCAGGTCGTCTTAGACGGGCACACTATTTGATGTTAACGGATGAGAAGGAAAAAGAAGAAGAAATATCAAAGATTACTGAGACTCTCAAGCAAAACAACTACCCAAAGAACTTCATCAACAAAATCAACACTGACATTAAATACGGTCGAAGGTATGGGCCTCATCAGAGACGTCAGCCGATATCAAAAGAGTACTCAATAAGCTCGACATCAGAGTTTTATTCAAAATATCAGACAGACAACGAAGCAACCTTGTCTATGTAAATGACCAAATCCCTAACGATTCTCTAACTAATTGTGTTTATAAAATAAAGTGCCTGGAATGTGTGATGCGATATACATCGAACAAACATCTCGAGAAATCAAAATCAGAAGAAATAAACACCGCAGAGACGCCTCTATTGGACCACCGAGAAGCAAATCCAGTTGAACTAGAAAAGCTTGATTAATCATCAGCCATAGCTCGTCTACACGCTATAGAATCAGAACACAGAATTGATTTTGACGATATTGGAATAATTCAGAGAAATTCATAAGTCACAAAGAACGTCTCACATCATCAGAAGCACTTCATAGCAAATGGAATGCAAATTGTCTGAATAGGAATGAACGACGGAATAAAGTAGAATTTGCCCTGGTTATACCGACCCATGAAATGACAAAATCAACACGAATGTGTGGTAAGCAATTTCATTATGTAAACACATGCTGCTTTAATAATTTTATACACTTATCAAATACAACAATCTACCAATTGACCAACTTGACAACACAAAAATGCTACCATGCTGATGAACGATGATTAAGTTCTTATATATAAGCTGAGTGGATTTTGTGAATTCCGGTTTAATAATACTTTGATAGATCAGCAGCGTATAAATAGCGAAACGTCAGTAAAAACAACACTGTCGTTTTGCTCTTTTTCATTCATTCATTAGGAAATACAAAATCAGTTATAATAATGAAAAGGTTCGTAAGTCATTTTAAGCTGTAATAAATCTCAAGCAACAGAGGCTCCATCTTTAATGCCAGTAACTAGTTTACATCAATGATAACAGTTAAAGATTGTCTAACTGACTCACCTTCTGTTGTGTGAAACGCGAACAGTACAGCAAGAAGGAAGATAGCGGAGAAAAGAGTCAGTTTATTGGCCATTTGGAGAAATCTCTAAACTACTGATCACTTTTATTTCATGTTCACGCATGCTATAAACATGCCTTTTATACTCAACGTTGATTTATTTGTTTAAACAAAATGCCTGAAATCTAATATTTTTATTTACTTTATTTGTCATTCATTGTGAAAACAAAACGTTAGATCAGTCTGTTGCATGTAAATAATTGTATATTGATCGAAGATAAACACTTCTAAAATTGGGAAAGAAATTTTGTACACCTCTACAATTGTGTGCAATGATGACGATTAAAACTGAAAATGGTCAGTTGTTTGAACCACTTGACTAGGTCCTGGGTGATCTAAACTGGTCAATTCAGCAAATCTCTGGTTAGAGCAAAAGTTATTCTCCCTCTATGAACTGATTTCGTGTTATTTAGCAGTGAAGTAAAGCCCTTTTACAGGCCGAGAGTGTTGACATTCATGAACCGCACGAAGCATACTAACGCAAGATCCAACCAACACCCACAACTTCTGTAGTATTCATCTCGCGTATACCAAAGACAAAAGGCAAAACACTGGAATTGATCGTCCAAATTACGAAGTATATTTCGGGACCAAATCGGAGGGCGAGATGATTGACTAACTAACTAGGGATCATCCACGAATGAACGAACGTAACACAACGGCGTAATGCGTGGATGCTTGACCGTAATCCTTCAGATAAACAAATCGACTAAAACAGTGAGGGTCAGCATCCAGTGTTCAGTGACGAATGCTTTAGCCAATAATTCTGTGGAATCACCCTTTATCATTACACTGTTTAGGCTTGAATAGAATGCAGATAAACGCGGGTAATTGGTGCCAATAATTATGAGACTCAAGTCTACATTTCTGTTGCCCACTGACTTGCACATTGTTTAATGTCAGGTTATCATGTATTACAATGTAAAGCAGAGTTACATTACATAGAGACGAGAGTATTCTATAAATGCTATTGAACGGATAGTTATAGTTTTGAACAATATAGTTCAACTGAACTCTGAAGTGTGACTACGATTGAAGAAAGAATAAAAGCCTGTAGCAGTAGACAATTCTTTAAAGTTGTCAGCCTACAGCTCTCATTGTCTATCATTGGCGACGATCTTCACTGTTTAAGTGGACTGACCAAACTGGCGGTATATAGTCAAGCATCCCTGCCGTTTTAGACATGCTACCTGTGGTGACTGACATTTTCTATCTCTGTATTGTTTAAGTACTTACTGTTGATTGCTAATACGTTTCATATATGAATTGCATTAGAATTTCGCCAAAAAATACAAATTCCTGAATTCCGCCCTCTCTGTGTTTTGTTTGGATTCTTGTAATTCGGTCATCTCGAAATACTAATACTACGATTACAAAAAATTAAAACATTTGGCGTCGCGATGGAACTAAATAACCTGGGAAAATTTCCTATAAATGGTTCTCCGCGGTGATTGCTGATTACCTTGAATGCTTCGATGCGTGGTGCATTTCAAAGAATGTTCGGGATGACAAAATACCAGCACATTTCATTACTGCTATTGGGCTTGATGCATATAGCCTAGTGAAGACTCTGTCGTTTCCAGATAAACCAATTTCTCTGCCATATGGTAAGCTCCGCGAACTTCTGATAAATCACTTTCATGTAACTACATTTGAGACCAGGGAGAGGGCTCAATTCATCAAACTGGTTCCTGCTCCCAATCAGAAGATAAGAGACTTCATTCTTCAACTTCAAATTCAAGCTTCAAAGTGTAACTTTGGAGATCAGCTGCATACTCAACTACGTGATCGTCTAATTCCTGGAATCAATATTCCTAAGTTAGAGAAAGAGTTAATTCAGATTCCTTCTTGTACCTTTCAAACTGCTAAAGATTTATGTATTACATATGAAGATGTCAATAGTGAATACTCTGCTCCCACTACGTCAGTATCTGATGTCATGCTTTCCAAAGTCGAAAATACAAGTGGTCATGGAAAGCAATCCAAACTGTCGTCCACAGGTTTCAGAATGCAGCGAGAGATCAAAAACATTAAACCGTGTTTATCCTGTGGAAAGTTACATCTACGAAGCACTTGCCGTTTTCGGGGTGCTAAGTGTCACAAATGTGGTAAAGTTGGACACATCAAGACTGTTTGCAGAAGTTAGAATACTTATGTTACCCAGAATCCTGATAATTCTTCCAATTTATCTGTTAAAATGCAGTCGATGTCTCTTTCAACTTTTCCCAATACTCAATCTCATCTAATGAGAACCTCCACTACAAGTTCAGCAACTCAAGCGTCAACTGTTTCCAAAATGAGGTAGCCAAGGTACAATGCGAACTGTCGAAAACACGAGAAGAACTGAATGAGATGAGAGAGCAACTTATTAAAATTGAGGAATCACTGCATATGCATAGACTGCGTCTGTTGAATGCAGAGCATACAAGCACCCGTGAGAGTCCTGCAAAACTTTTCGAATCTCGAATTCTCACAAGGCATCTAATGTCCACGACTTCTAATGTACATTATTACAAAGGGAATGACTACAGACCTTCTGTTGGAATCATACTACAAAAAATGGGAAATCGAGTGGTGAAGATATTAGACATCAAAGATCACTCAGTTCATAACGGACACCTAGACAAAGTGACAATAAATGAAGTAGGTCGTTCCAATTATAATATTAATAATTCCGCTACTAATCCTGATTTTGTAGATAATTCTGAAATAAGTCGGATAACAGTGATGAAGATAATATCACAGAATCAGTTAGAAGGTCGCAGCTGCTTGCAAGCAAACCGAGACATCGTTATAAATACGCAAGGAGATATTCGACGTGTGGCGGATGTGGTGATTGACTATTTCTATCTCTGCATTGTTTAAATACTTACTGTTGATTGCTAGTACGTTTCATATATGAATTGCATTAGAATTTCGCTAAATACAAATTCCTGAATTCTGCCCTCTCTGTGTTTTGTTTGGATTCTTGTAATTCGGTCATCTCGAAATACTAATACTACGATTGCGATAAATTACTACATACATCCTCAACAGATAAGTTACAAGATGCAAGACAAACACGGTTGTGTTTTACACGTTTGTAAGAGGTGCATACAAAGGTGAACTGTGAACCAGTGAGCAAGTTCAGTGATAAGCTAAATGTAAACTCCAGGCCTGACTCCAAATTGTGTGACGATAACGGTGCGGTCAAGAAGTCTGTAGTAGCAACTGGTAAGCCATTGTTGAATAGAGTGTCACAAAATAGAATTACTGCTTCAGAGTGCAGTTCTGACTCCACAAGTTTACAAGGTATTACTAGTCAGAGTGAAGATATAGAACCTTTAAGGATTTGTGAGGAGGAACCAAAATTGTCTACTTCTGTTATTAGAGAGTTTGAAAATGATGAAATTGAAGGTAAAGTGAATATTCGTGATAATGATCATGATACTTCAGATTTGTCTTTGGTTGATCATGATGAGATGAGGGATATGCCTACTACTGCTAAGTTGAACAATTTTTTTTAGGTACTTGAACGTGAAGTAGAAATAAATGCAGATGAAGTTGCAGAAGGCATGCATACTTGTGAGACCGTCAGTGTAATTGATCAGCATGTAGCCCACCTATCATCAGATGATAGTGCTAAACCCGAACTAGTAGTGAAAGACAGCAGTGGTGGTGGTCTTGCAGTTAGACAACTATCTGAAAGCCGAACAACAACAGCTTCTGATCCACCGCTAAGTTCATCAACTGGTATCAATCAGTCGTCGTTGGTGTTGTCATCCACAATGAGAAGGACGCCCATCAACTCAAGTATCTTGTGCAATGACTATGATAGTTTTGGTGCATTTGAAAAGACGAAAGATATTGCTCAGTTTAATGAGGATAAGCCAAGTGTAAACGAGAGGGTAATTGTTAAATTGACTTGCACGAATAAAGGCATTTCTAGTTTCAAGTTACTATTTGAATGCTATTATCTTTGGTGTAAATTACTCTGTTTCTACGCTTGGTTGACCAGATACGTCGTGTGTTTGTGCGTCATCTATATTCTACGATACAATGACACGAGCGTGTTACCGTTCAGATTTGAGGATATAGCTGATAGAGGGAAGTCAGCAAATGAACTCTGCGACGATTTTCCAACCTAGAGCGTCAACCTGAGAAGGGTTTTAGGCGTACTGCTGTAAGTCCTACAATTCTTCAAAGGGTAGCGCATCAATGAGCAGTCCAATGTGCTTGGTGTGTGATTTTGTATATATGTTCATACTCTATATACTGAATTGATATCATCTGTCATCTAGCTGTTGATAATTTTGTTTGTGTCTGGACGACTTCCACTTGGATCATCAACCTGAGAAGGAATGTAGGCGTACTGCTGTAAGTCCTACAGTTCTTCAAGGGTAGTTCGTCAAGGCAGAATCCACCACATGTGATGTGTTGATTGTATATTTGTTTGTGTTAAATAATTGTGTGAGTTCCAGTTATTGTAATTGTTGGTTAATCTTGTTTGTGTCCGGACATTCCACAACTTACAATCGTCAACCTGAGAAGGTTTGCAGTCGTACTGGTGTAAGTCCTGCGATTCTTCAAAGGATTTCCATCGAGACACGATCTGCGAGTTTGTGTGTACTGTTTGTGTATATGTGTGGTGTGTCATATCAATTGGTGTTTTTGGATTCATTGTGTTTACTCGTTGTTTTCGTACCTAGTTTTTATTGCGTAATTTTGCTAAAATTTTCGTCGTGATTACTTCTGAAGTTGTTTCTTGTCTTCTACATTCGTGAATGAATTGATTGATGTTAGAGACAGCAGATGGGTCGTGTACGCCGAGGAGGCTATTGTTGAGAATGAAATGCATACGGAGATAATTGTTAGCTGTGACCCACACGTCGGGAAGCGGGAGTGTAGACGACTGAGGCTCGCATACGTCGCCGTTACTAGAACTGAGGCAGAATGAGTGACAAGCGATTGCAGTGGTAATTGGTAGTGAGTAGATAAGAGGATGTGTGTAGAGTATCGTGAGGTGGTGCTATGGTCACGTTGCATTCTGCAAGAGTCATTCTAGCAAGTGGCGATTGTGTTGCAAGATGTCAAGAGGATACCTTTAACTGGAAGGTGCAGGTCGTCATTGATGTGTGAGATTGTGCTGTGGGTAGGCTTGTGGTGTGTTGGCTTTTCTGTTTGTTTTCCATTTCAACTCTGTCCGTGTGACCCAGGTTCTCTCAATGGCATCCAAGTCAACGTGTATTGGTCGTGATGGAAAAAAGGAATGGATCCGTATTTTGCCGGGGAGTGTCAGTGTAGTTGAAGATTGAACGATCAATTCGTGGTTGTTCGCTCAAACCCGACTTCCCCAATTTTCGCGGTGGCATCAATACGACAGTCATCGTCTCATCGATCGCTGTTCAGAAAGAAGAGTAAAACACCGTCTGAAGTAATATTGTGACTTATTATTGTAATATTTGTTCATGGACCTTAATTGTAAAGCTTAGTTTTAAAGTTGGCTATATGTTGGTGTTACAATAAAGAATTCTCGAGTGGCCAATCGGTGTTTTTGTTTTCGCGTCCGTTATTACTAAGCGGTTCTGAGAAACTTCAAGGAACAGTGTGAGTCCCAGCGTAGCAAGAGCTGGGCATTAACGGTTTACGAGACGTAGCTGACAACCACAGTGCCCAAGTTCTATCCTTATATAACGTCGTTTTCAGCTGGGTGGCATATTCTTGTGTCACTGTTAGTGAGGTGAGATGGTTTTAAGGCTACTTTTGGTCGGGAGTCATAGTAAAGCGAACAACATTTATCAAGAACTGGTAATAAATTACACAGAAAGTTGGGATAAAAAATCTGACCAAATAATGATGATTTTCCTGAAGACATATAGTGGTCATGATTGCAATGGCAAGGGCGAAGTTTGAAGGAGACGGCACTGACAATTTTTTTGACCGTTGCCGAACCGAAAGAAGCTAACCGTTTCGTGTTTCAGGAGCTCACACTCCCTGAGTACTGCTTGCTGTCTAAATCGAGAAACGGTACATAGTCACATGGTAGATTTGTAGTTTCTTGACTTGTTTTGCACGCAGTCATCGGACTTTGGTACTGCGTAGACTTCTTGAGGCTGAAAATGTTGTCTAGGCTTTAATGGGAGTTTCTACTTACACTAAGCTATCATTTAGCCCCTAAGAACATACTTTGCGTTTTTCCTCAAATGATTTAGCCGGAATGGTTTAAACCAGCTCTTGATGTGTCATTATTAGTAGCATCATGGAAACCAGCCGTTGTTGAGGCATTCACCAAGCCCCTCGCCAAAAACTCCACCATTTGTAAGTTTCTCAACAATGTTGAGTGACGATACAGTGAGATTTACCTTCGAATCCTATATTTAGAACCACGAGGATTACTTCCATACCAGGCATCGATGTTAGTTTGGACGCCCTATTTGAGCATTAAAATGTTTATTAGATCCGACACACAGTGACACAGTGTTAATGATGATAAACACACTTCCGTTGTGTAGTAGTCTTGGTGGACGATTTATCCGGATTGATAGAGCGATGTACTTGTCGGTCCACTGAAACCAGCCTCATATCATTATTTATGGGCTGAATGAAGGGTTGTTAATATGTTGCTGTTGCAGGTGGTTACTGAATGACTATCGACGGTGTAGTGGTGCGTAATTTACCACAGACGTTGGCGGTCTGCAAGTAGTCTGAGCCTTTCTTTGATAACTTAGCTTGCATAGCGGGTTTGTTCGTCATGTTGGATGGACACATCAAAACCATGGGTTGGACCAGGAACAAAAGTAGCAATCACCTCCTCTTGTTACTCTTTTTCCCCAGAAACTTTCTAATTTTTCCTGATGTTGTAGATAGGCAGTGCGGTGCGAAACCACAATACAGCCTTCCTTTCACAACAACACGACTGGCAGCCATACTACTGCAGGTTAGCTTGTCAAGTGCGATACGACCTGATGCTTGAAATATACCTAAGGCAGATCTGTTTTGAACGAACTGTTATCCATAGAAGAACTGTGTGAACAGATGAAATTTCTTGAAGGGCAACTATTTAGAATCGTAATAACTTAGAACTTTTTGAAACTTTGATGGCTTATCTCACAAATTATTAAGTATATTAAGTTAGTATTTATGTTGAGGGAAATCGAAATGAACTGCGTTTCTGGAGATGGCTGGCCTCTTAGCATTAGTGAAAACTGTCACTCAGCCTATATAACTGAATTCATTTGGTTTTATTCGGTATGGAAACTTGTATCAATTCAGATAGTTTGTCGGATAGGTACATTTACCTCGAGCTAGTGGTATTAATATATGTGTAAAACTTGAGCACTGTGGTATTTATTTTTTATTTTTTTATTTTATTTTTGATTTACAGCTTGATTCCACACTGTATTTTTGGTACAAGTATGGAATTTTCAGCGTGAATATCGGTAGCCCAAAATTCGCAGGCCGACCATAGATATCGGGTGTGCGTCGGCGTGGCTCGAACCCCGGACCATGTGCATGGTAAGTAATTTCATATTAGTTTGTTTATTAGATATATCACACAGTGAAACAGCATTATTATTTACTGGATGACACCGTTTTGAACAAAATGTATCGTTCATAATCATACCAATTGTAATCACACGACTTTGAAACTTGAGTTTTATAGTTTTTTTTGTCTTCTCCTATTTGTCACCGTTGGGGTAGTAGAATTTTCCAGATATCTGGGTGAGCAGGTGTTGAATCATTCCTATAACATGTATTTGC